AGGCTGTGTGTTTGGGAAAAGTTTAGCAGCATCGTGTATCCCGTAGAAAACAGACTCAGTTTATAATTAGAATTGTCATCTGCTTCCCTCCTAATTGTCAATATCTTAGTTAACCTAAATAGCAAAACCAAACCCACAAAAGGTCATCTGAAGCAGGTGCAGATAAAGAGTTGTTTTAGGGATGACTTACTTCTGGTACTTTATGTTTAGAAAACCCTTTTTTTCTGTCTACAAAGTATACTTTAGGTCTGTTTTAATGTTTAGTTCACTTTTACTCACTTGACTAATTTATAGAGCACCTACTATGTGGCCGACATGATCTTAGATAGTGGGTACAGAGAGATGAATAAGCCCCACCCACCTTATGGAAGGTACAGCCCAGTAGCTCACATGCTTGTGTCTGGAAGGGAAGGTGTTTTACAAATGGAAGAACGGAGGTGAGGCAAGTTGAGTGAGTTGCCCAAGATGGCAATTAGTAAATATCCAATTTGGAATTTTATCTAAAATTTCTTTAAAAATAGATCTCTTGTTGTCGACAAATTAGTACAAAAAAAATAGTTTAAATATGTGGATCAAATAATATTTTTAACTTTACTTCATTTCATATGTCCTAGGTGGGCACTCAGCCCTCAGAGAACTAGGGTGCTACTGTTTTCCTGAAAATTCCAGTCATATTTGCAGCAACTCTGCTCAGCCCTCCTTTGGTCCTTTCCTGCCTCCTCCGTGTCCCTGCCACCCTTGACCACACTCCCCAGCCTCACTCTAAACCCTCCCGTGGTCCGTTCTGCAGTCCTCAGGGCACGTCTCCCTCTTCGGGCTTCTTGGCTCGGTCACTGTCTTTATTCAGCCAAGTATGGACATCTCTTGGCCATTGGAAATTCTGCTTCAAAACTTTGCAAATTAAGAACTTCACTGAATTAAATCACAAACTTAAAAGAAAATTCCCTTTAGCAGTTCTCGTCTTTGTAATTTTTACATCAGTCACCTTTCTTGAACCATGCTACTGTCTACTAGCATGACTGCGTCTTCTTGTTGTGTGGTATGTCCAAGTTCTAGCCATTAAAGGAGGCCTGCTTATGTCTACAAACACAACACTTTTCTTATACCAAACATGTCTTTAAAGAAGGGAGTCTGGATAAATAGGAATGCTTTTCGACCTAAGACGCGTCCCTTTCCTTCAGTGAAGATACTGACATCAGCGCTCAGCTTCCTCTTGGTTTTCCTGCTGACTCTGAAGCAGGTGCATTGTGTCTAAAGATGGCCACCCCTTACTTCTCCCATCACCATGAGAGAGCTTGGATTAAGAGAGGATTTGTCAGGACTGTCTCCTCTTGACATCTAGAAAATGGGTCTTCTGAGTTGACATTAAAGAATGTCTTCTCTGTGAGGCTATTATAAAAATTCCCCCATCTTTTTTCTTTTTCAGTGTAGAGGAGTTTAAAGAAGATGGAATTTAATCAGATACCAAGGGTTGTATTTGATACAGCTTTGTTTGCCTTCCTTTTCTTTGCTTTGTTCCATTGGTGCTCATTAAGTATGTGCTAAGTTGATGAGCCGATTCTGCACAAGAATCATGTCTCTGTAAGGTTGCAGAATATAAATCAGAGAAGTGAGAGGCAAGGAGAACCTTTTCTCTGTTTGGTCTTTTCATGTTGACCAAAATTCCCACTATGAAGTGGAAACCTTCTTTGGAATTAAGGCATTGATTTGTGAAAGCTCCCATTAAAACACATATTTGAGGTAAGTGTTCAAGGCATTATTTTATTAGTCTTTTGTTTCTTCTTCTAATTCTGTTAGCCAAGGGCAGAGCCCTCAGGGTTTGGGACTCAGGATCCAGGACGTTTCTAAACTGAGTAAAGTCTGGCAGTGTTTACCAAAGCATAGAAACATATCATTGGTGGCATGAGAGGTATTTTTAGGGAAGACCCAGATGAAATGTTACATAATATTTGAATTGCCTTGTGTGAAAGTTAGTTACTTTTTAAATCTCTCAAACTCTGGTTTATCTGTGTTTTTGGCAAAGTGTGGAGAGTCAAGAGTGTCCAGCAAACATGGGAAGTATTGTTTCACTTAGATGTTATTTTCCTTTGTATGGTTACTAGCCATCATTGCAAGTGATAACAATAATGGGACACTTCCTTTCAAAATATTTTCTTTGAAAATAATACAGTGTGTCACTTTAAGAAAAAATATTACTTAAACCATAGCACAAGATGCAGAGGGCTGTGGCAGCAGTGAGTAATATGGATGACATGAGAAAACTGATTCTTGGGAACCACCGGGGTAGGGACATGCCCCTGAGAAATGCCTCATCTAGGGGAGCCGGCACGGCAGCCATACACGGTAGGGTGATGGCTTCCAGATGTAGAGCTGGAGGCAGCGTTGGAAGCCTAGCTGCCATGGCCAGGGAAAAACCCTTCTGTGGCTTATAATGGGGAGCGCATCCCCATTGCCTCTTCTTTCCCAAGGGGCAGTGTGGCAAAGCCTGGCTTTTTCCAAACTGGTGGTGTTCTTACCCGAGAAGGTCAGAAGTTCTCTTCTACTGGGAGGAGCGACTGCCATATCCTACTGCCATGTAATTGCCACACACTACAGTGGAGTAGCTTGTTTGAAGTATGTTTCTCAGTCTCACTTGGTCACGGAATGCTTTTGTCACTGTGGCCTGATAAAAATGCTCTTCTGCAAAAACATCTGTTCAGCAAGAACTCAGACTTCACAGCCACACAACATCATCCTTTTTGTGAGTTACAACTATTTATTCTACTTTCCTCTTTAACCCCATTTTCCTTCATTTTTATGACAGCCTAGTCAGCGTACACTCTGTTGGTTTATTTTCACATCTGTGCGTATGCGTATTCCAAGTAGGGCTGCATTGGAGATACTCTGTTAGTTAACGCAATCAGAATGCTAACGCCCTGCCTGAAGTGTGTGGAGGGCTTCAGCTGAGCTCGTATTGCGTGCGAATGGGCGCAAGGGCACCCCTGCTCCAACTTCTAAAATGGAAATAGGATTCATTTCCCATGTGCACCAGCTCGATGGCCCAACCAGAGAGAAGCCATCTCAGTTAATCAGCGCCCTTCAAGGGCCGCCAGGCAATCCTTTCCCGAGAAATCTGTTGATGATCAGGCGGTGACCCAGACCGTTGCTGAGAGAAAGTTCATTTTATAACTTTATGATTTTCTTCCCTTCTGCTTTCTTTCTAATGGCCTGGCTTTTCTATTTCATTTCCCAATTCTGAACATCAGAGATTAAAGAGCCCCTTTTTACGGAGTGCATGCTAAAGTGTTCTGTTAGGCAATATATTTATTACCTGGAGTGAAATGGCTTTTCACAGCCAGGTGGCCTTCTTAGCTCCCTTGCTAACTCTGTATTTAAGAGAGTCACCCCTTGTGTTTAGCTGGACAATGGCTCTGTGTCAACCAGTGAAGAAAGAGAACAGGCGTGTGTGCGTGCGTGCATGTGTGTGTGTGTGTGTGTGTGTGTGTGTGTGTTAGGGGAGGGGCTCTTTAATACAGCTAATGAGCACATTTCCGTTTTTCATTTTCTTCAGATGTTCAGTGGCTTCCATATGTCTGCTGCGTGCAGCTCTGTTCATCCAGTTTGGCATTGGTAACTTTGGAGTTGCCTTTGATGGGAGACATGTGTATCCACTGTATCTTTCACTAGTGTTTATGCCTGAGATGCTATCTGGAATTGCTTTGGGAGGTTGGGGAGAGGGAGAGAGAAGTGTGTCTATGTGTGACTGTCTTGAGGTGCCCTGACCAAAGAGGCTGGGCATCAAATGACCACCTCCAAGAGATGCTCCCTATTGGACTGGCTTCAGCTGGAGGAGTCTCTGCAACTATACTGTGTCTGTGTTTCCCTTGCCATCAATATACCTGTCAGACATGGTCAAGTGGGTTTGAAGCGAGCCCTATTCCATTTTCAGGGACAATTTATTTTATTTTTTCATCCAGTTAGGGTTTGGCAGGTGCGTGTGCGTGCGTGCGTGCATATGGGTGTGAGTGTGTTGGAAGACCCGACACTGGCATTGTTTCTTAGTGGCCATTTTTGGATGTTTTTCGTGTAATTTCACAATTTGGGAACAAAAAACAATATATATTCAATTTAGGAAGACCTCTAATCTGGTTCTACAGATCAACTTTGTTAGAGAAGATTGCATATTTCATGACTGCTTCCTTTTCTCCCTGGAGATGGCACACACGTGCCATTGTCAGTCACAGCGGCTGGCTAGGCGTGTGGCCACCCCAGCGGAGAAGCAAGCATTGGGCAACCTGCTTATGTACATCTCAGGTGTGTTGCTCCCCCCAACCCCTGATACCACACCCAGCAGAGGGCCGCTTCGGTGTCTTTCTCAGTGGAAAGAAGTTTTGCTACTCAGCAGGCAAAAAGCAATATTTTGACTCTTGTATAATCATTGCAAAACGCCATATATGTCCAGAGAGACCATCATTGCTTTTTTTGTGTTCTTCATTATTTGCATGGTTGTGTTCAAACTGGAACCTTGCACTATAATTAGGCAGTACTTTTATTTATATTGGAAAGTATGTAAATTGTCTGCCTTTGGCATTCCCTCCAGTACCCTTGGAAGAGTTGTGAACCCTCTTGCTTGTATAAAATTAGAGACCAGTAAGATGACACTCAAGTAGGATGAGAAGCAGTTTCATTGGGCTTAAAAGGAAATCTCCCAAGAGCTTTCCCAGCTTGCTCAAAATCAAAAGCAAATAGCATTCTCTATACCGACAGCCTTTCATGAGGGATGGTTACAGGTGTCGTGGGTGTGAGACTGGAGGCCTGCAGACCTACCAGACTTTTACTTCGGAGATTATTTTTCTAAGACAAACCATGTACAAAACGGTATTGGAGAGAACCATAAAAATGGTATGTTTACTTTGGGCAAAGAACAAAATGGGGATTGAGAGTGACTGACACCACTATTTTTCCCCCGAAAGTAAACTGCTTTTTTGTTTGTTTGTTTGTTTGTTTGTTTTTCCCAATAGCACCATCATCCATTGCTTTGGTCCAAGCTAAAGAAGTTACCAGATACAGTGTTGCTCTGGCTTGGCTGGAACCAGATCGGCCCAACGGGGTCATCTTGGAGTATGAAGTCAAGTATTATGAGAAGGTATTACTTGAATGAGCAAGGTTCCCTGCTCCCTTCCTTTTGTCCCTTTCCTTTATTTCCTCCATTCCTCCCTCCCTTCATCCTTCTTCCCTCTCTCTTTTCCTTCCTTTCTACCTCCTCCCCTTTTTCCCTTCTTTCTTTCATGTCTAGTTTTCAGCCAATTATAAATCCTGGAGTACCAGCGAATCTCAAAGCCAAATGCATTTTGTTTTCTAGTCAAATCTAATTATGAAATTTCTTGTATTAAGTTCGTTATCTTCAAAAACAGGAAAAATACATTGGATTCTAATAACCATATTTTTTTAGCAATAGAAATCAAGATAGTTCTAATTTATAACTCTTCTATCAAAAGAGTGACTCAGAAAAGTTGAAACAGCCCTGCCCAGTGTAGCTCAGTTGGTTGATGCATCGTCTTGTAGACCAAAAGGTCATGGGTTCAAATCCTGGTCAGGGCACATACCCAGATTGTGGGTTCAATCTCTGGTCAGGGCATATATGAGAAAGCAACTAATGTTTCTCTTTCACATCAATGATGCTTCTCTTTCTCTCTTCCTCTGTCTCTCTAAGAGCAATGAAAATAATGTATTTGGATGAGGATTTTTTAAAAGGCAAAATAATGAGCAGCTAAAGTAGATTACTGCTATTCAGAATCAAGGTGTGGCTTTTGATGACTTTTAATAGAAAATCAGAGGAGGAAAATTACATTTTTATGCCTCTTAAAGTTATAGAAAGACATTATTTTTACAAATAGCTTGTCTCTAATCTTAAAGGACAGAATTCTGAAGAGAACTATTTGCATTCAAGGTTGTCTAAAAAATGAGCAATTGTCTTCTCATTCTTTTTAAAGATAATCATTTATTGGCTTCCTTATTAAAAGCAGAAAAGGGACAAGATTGTTTTCATTGAAACCAGATTACCACATTTTCTACATAGACAGTAGAAAAAGACAAGGGGATTTCTTACAGTTATTTCTTTTAAATTGATGGGTGTGGAGTGAGAAAAGCCACCAAGCATCGTCTAATGTTCTTTTCAAAAAAGATGATGAATAAAGATCTAAATATGCTCAGTGTCAACAATGATCATAAAAGAACTCTACATTTCTTTCAACATCTAAGAAGTAACAATAGTACTGCTAACACTGAAGAGAATATAGGGTTTAGAGAGTTTATCAATCTCCATTTTCTTTCAACTTCTGAGTAGAGTGGCTTGGCTCCTTTAACTTTGCTCCTAAAATAAGTGGAGGATTTATTTTGCCATCTTCCTTCGTAATGTAGGATCAGAATGACCGAAGCTATCGGATTGTCCGGACAGCTGCTAGGAACACGGATATCAAAGGTCTGAATCCTTTGACTTCCTATGTTTTCCACGTTCGAGCCAGAACAGCAGCTGGCTATGGAGACTTCAGTGAGCCCCTGGAGGTCACAACGAACACAGGTAACAAGTTCTGAGGTTCTTTTTACCATTTGGGGCAAGTGCTACTACAGTGGCATCGAAGGAGCTGTATGTAATTTTTGATTGGGCAAACATTTCGTTTCAGTGAACAATGCCTGTAATTTTGAAAACCTTGTGCTTTTTAGAGAAGTCTGTTTTCAGAATAATATTATCTGACCTGTTTTTTCATGTGGTTGAGAAAATGTAGTCTTTTCCCCCCTTGTTTTCAGCCTTCTATAAACCATGAGAAATGCGATTGTTAAATCAGTTGAGAGTTGCATAGCATTTTTACATTAAGATAGGAAATATTCCTCCTGAGGAGATTGGAGAAGAGGCCATTTTTTTCTTTTCTATTTGTTTCTGGGGACCTTTTTAAATTGTCAGAGCAGTTTTTTTTTATAAAGCCCTTTGGGATAAATATATCCAACTCTTTAAACATTGTGAGTTGGACCAACTGGTTGATTGAATCAAAAATGTTAACAGGGGGCAAACCCATCATAAACAGCTTACTTGACATATCTCCACCTCCCTAATTACTTGACTACTTGATAAGGAGGTGGTGGAGCAGAATTTTTGACACAACTTCTAGAAAGTAATTTTATTCACCCATTATTAAATGAAATAAGATTTTTTTAAAAAAAAAAAGAAGAAAAAGTACTCCAGAATTGAATCTGAAGGTGTCTGACAGACATTCTTTGGGATTATCCTCAAAGCCTTCAAGGAGGAAGCGGCCTTTGAGCTGGACAACAGTAGGCAGATTTTTGATAGATTTGGGAAGGTTGAGAGGGGGAAGAACATTCAAAATCTGCTTGTCCTTTCTGAAATTTCCCACTAAGGAATGCGTCATATTTTTATGTAAGTGTTAGAGCTGAGAGTAAAAAGGAAAAAAAGAAGGGGAAAGAAACCTGAGTGGTAATATTTACCACAGGCTTTAATAACAATCTTCTGGTTGAACTTCTTCATACAATTATAAAAAGAATGCCCTTGTCTCATTAAGGCTGCCTCAGAAAACGCGTTTGCATGAATACTTAACGAAGGGCAAAGAGGCTATAAGCATTCTGAGTGCCTTCAGAAATTTGAAACTTGTGACCCAGTCAGAAGTGCTACCTCTTAGGACCTGCCCAAAGGTGATCCTTGTGTGACTTCTTTGCCAGTGCCTTCCCGGATCATTGGAGATGGGGCCAACTCCACAGTCCTCCTCGTCTCGGTCTCTGGCAGTGTGGTGCTGGTGGTCATTCTCATCGCAGCTTTTGTCATCAGCAGGAGGTAAGCACTTAAGCCACTCACTGAACATCCCCCGCCTTCCCAGTTTTTATGAGGGAGCTTTTTGTCCCCTCCAAGCAAAGCAGAGGCTTTGATTAGCATTATAAACACAACATTTGCATCTCAAGTCCCCTTCTCTTTGCTTTGATCTCCCCACACCCCTCCTGGAGCTGCCGACTGTACCCTGGTGGCAGCTCTCAGAGTTGAGAGCCTGGAAAGACCCAACTAATTCCAGGAAACCAGGCTGAAAAGCAAGCCAGTGGGAGATTTCTAGATACTCTAAGCTGTAAGGTGTTACATTTATACGTCTCTTAAGCTTGGACTTACTGCCAAAGGCAAAAAAAGAAAAAGCCATATAAAACTTGGGACCAAAATCTGTGCTCTGCCATTTGTCAGCTAAATTACTTAACCTCTTTGAGTCTTTGTTTTCCTTTTAGAAAATGGGAATAATAATATCTGCCTCAAAGAGTTATTGATGGGAGAACTCTGATAGGCAAAGGAGATAACATGGTGCATAGTAGGGGCTTCAGCATTTCCAGACAATATCGTAAGCATAGCATTGTTCTTGGAAATAAATCTCAAAGAGTAGATTACTCATTCTCTATAGCTGTACAAACTGACTTGATACTTTAAAAACAATCTAGAAAAGAAAACTAAAAATGGTTTGGGAGCATATTCTTGTGAACCATCTCCTTATTAACGCTGCCGGGAGCCTTGGGAGGAATGGGCATGGGAGGGGGCAGCTGCTCGTCTGCATCATGTACCCACACCTGGGCCTTCCTTGTCCCCTGTGAGAGAAGCTGCTTCTTCTCGGACCTTCACCTCCGATCCCATCAGCTGTTTCACAAGGTGGGGCTTTTGGGTGGGAAACACAAAAAATGCAGAGCCTGAGCATGTCAAAATGATTCTCTTCAATCTAAACCTGTCATGTTATAGAAGAGGAAAATAATACTAAGGAAGACATAGCCCTTGTCCAGGGTCATCACGCTGCCCTAGTGGCAGGACTTCTGTGGGAGCCCCAGTAGCCATGCAGAGCTCGCAGGCCACTGTGGAATTATCGTCTCACTGCCTCTTCTGTTGGTGACCTCACTGATGTCACAAGTATGCCTCCGGCTATTTCCAAGGTCCTGGCAAGCCACCACGCCTTTCCCTCACTTTGGTGATAACATTATAATTAGGGTGATGACCGTATAGCTTACTCTGCCTGGATAAGGTCCCAGTTGTCACATGTATTTATTAATATCGTGTCTCCACCCTTACTCTCCAAAATGTCCTGATATATAGAGATCAATTATGGTCACTCTAACACACTTTGGAACAACTCCTCACGGTGTATGGGCACCTACATTTGTCAGTCTGTGAGTTCTTTTTTGTGTAAAGTCTATAACTAGGGGAGTTTGATCAGAGCAATGTGTCCTGTCTCGAAGAAGCTAAATCTACTACAAAGTCTCATCCTTGGTGCTATAATTCACACATATGTATATACGTATCCAATCCATTCTATGCAATGGTATATCTTGGACTTTGGAAACTTCAGCTGGCCTGGATAGAATTTGAATTTACAGTGTCTTCTTTTGTTGTTGTTGTTGTTGTTGTTGTTTGATTCCCCTAGCATTGATTTTGGAAGCCAATCAAGCTGGACCTCTTTCTTGTTCATTGTCATTTGATTTTGTGTGTGTGTGTATATGTGTGTGTGTGTATATACACACCTGCTAGGCACATTAACACTCGGGATGATATGCATTAATATATATATTCATCTGACAGTGGGAAACAGGGAGTCAGATGAAGGGGAATAGAAGTTACATGGACTTTTGCTTTCCTTATTACATATCACTGCATTGGAAAAATTTTGCAATGTCTATATATAACTTTTTTTTCACAAAATATAGATGTTTAAAAGTTTAAAAATAGAAAAAAACTTTATTAATTACCTTCACCTCCCAGAACTATATATTTGGCTGAAATCCAGCACCATGTGATGCTCAGAACCATTCGGGACAAACAGCACCTGTTTGTAGAAAGTGGGTCCCTTCTTGTGTTTCGACCTTTTCTCCAATGTTGGTTGGAAGCATTTTGTAGTTGTCGTCCAGCTTGCCTTTAATGTACATTTTTTTTTTAAAGAAACTTTAAGTTGCCATGAATATAGCAGTCAAACCCATGTAATTAGAAATAAGTCACCTCATTATGAGTTTCCCTCGGATGTTCTGCTTGAATGAAAAGAATGAAAATGTAATGCAGGAAGACAAGTTTATTAAAAGCCATAGCTCTAGAAAATAGCGTCACAAGCCTGATGACTTAATTTCCTCTCTGCTTTTATTGATCACTTTATTATTTAAGGCAGGATTGATAGCAGGATGCATCGGATTTCCAATTATGAGTCCCTACCTTAGAGAATTGAGCCTGTCGAGTTACCCAGCGATGATTCCTGTCCCTTCTTCCCCATTTAAAAAAGAAATGTCACTTCCCAAGGCTGATAAACACTGCTTGGTGATTGGTCTTCAATGGATCACTTTTTAGAAAATGAAATGTCAACCCCTTGCCCTCCTATTGATTCTGCTTTAGTGTTGGCCATAAAGCTGTCATGGGGAGGCTGCCTGGAGCCAGGTAGCTGACAGGCTCTGCCGGGGCTGGTGCACACTCAGCTGATTCTTCCTCACACGCTGGCCTGTGCTCTGTCATGTTCAACGGCAAATGTTAAAATGGGACAACAACGGGTGACGAGAGAGGAGACAGGCAGTGCGGATAAAAGTCGAGCCCATGCTTTTCGTGAGAGGACGTGTGAAAGGTGGCAAATGATACTCCCAAAATAATCTCGACACACTGCAGCCAGCAGTCCGGGAAAGCAACAGAGGAGACATCCTTGCCTGGAAAGCGATGGGGCTGCTTCTGGCTCCCTAGAGGCACAGAATGTTGATGGCGGGACAGTTGCTGGAGCCGGACTCCTTAGAGGGTGATTCTCCTCCACGGGAAGCCAACACTGCTGATGGCATGTGAGGTTTTAAAGAGGTAGATGGGCAGGGACCCACAGGTCCCTTTGAATACCTCAAAGAGAAAGGCTGTTTGGTGCTAATTGGTCCTTAAAGGAAGAGGAAAGAGCCTCAGGCTCACAGCTGGTGTCTTACTAGGTTTTTTTATTAATAGTAATTGTGTCATTTATGTCATCACATTTGCTTTACACTAAGAAGCCTGGGCTTCAGGCAAGACAGAGTAATCTTCACTTTTTTTCAATGAGAAGATCCACATTTTTCTTTTGGCAAACTTGGATGTGTAAACATTTTGGAATCCCAGTGACAGAGTTAAACTACTAAGTTTATAAACTTTATATATTTAAAATGATATGTTATACAAGGCACATTGAGCTCAATGTACTGTATGTTTTTACCACCTGCGTTATGTTAAGCAAATTAACTGACATTTTATATAGGCATCTTTGATCAGTGTCTTCCTCATGACTCGAGTAATATTTTAAGGATTCTGTCAGCTTTTTGGAGAAGACAGTTGTACTTGCTAAGTGGGCTGTTTAAGGTGCAGCTCTTCTTGTATCCATGGATGCTGTCCGTAGAAACTGTATGGCAAACCACATATGCTCATTCTCTTAGCAGACAGCATCATTTCCCACTTTCCTGTAGGTGCGTATTTGTAAGCTCTACCGTGGAACCACTTGATTGCCTTTTGAAGTGATATTTGAAAAGAGTCTTCACAGCAAATCATAAAATGTAATAAGATCATACACTTCAGGACTAATGATCAAATGTGTTAAATTTCTCTGATACGCCTCCCCCTTTATATTAATGATTTCATTGGGCTTCCTCCAGAAGCATCCCAAATAGCATTAATTCGGGTTGCTTTAGGCCAGTGCGTCTTCCCCAAATATTCCTTTATTGTTCAAGTATGAAAAACCCTTCTAAGAATGGACTAGAACACCAGATGATTCTCCCCTTTGTAAAGGACAGTTGGTAATCAGAGACAAGTATTGGCTGATAACAGGGCATAGGCTGCTTTGACGCTCACCTTGGATGATTGCTATTGATACTAGCTTTCCATTTATGTTAGGGTTATAAAGTACCCCTTTTACCTGAATTAAGAAAAAGAAGCAAATTAAAGACAAAAAATGGAGTGTATGACAAAATTTGTGAGGGAGCTTTACCAATGTTTCTGGTTTAAGAAACTCAAGTTCTAAGACTGGCTTCTTGTATATCAGGAACTGAGGACTGGAGAGGAGGTTAAACAGTGAACTGAACCAAAGGCATGCAGCTATTTAGTTGCCTGATCAGGACAGGGTTTCATCTCTCCTGATTTCCAATCCTGGCATAGATAGGTTATTTTAATGTCTTCTTAATTGAAAAATTTGACCTACATCAAAAGCTACCATTGACAGTTTTGTTGAACCAAATTTTTAAGAGTCTGCTCAGCCCTGTTGGTAATATTTGTAATCTATGAATTAATATGCAAGTCTAATGCATACTATAAAGTTAGAGATTGCAAGTTGGCTGTGTCTTCTTAGGAAGGTTAAGATTTTCCACGTTGAAGATAACTATTCACATAATGCTGAAACAGTTACCATTCAGTCTGCATGTGCCTTTCCCTGGCATCCTCATTGGAATATTATGATCACATAAGAATGAATACACTTAAATGGTAGCCTAAATTGGCTCCAATGAAGCCATGTAAATTCATACAATTAGGGGGCAGATGGTACTGCAGGAACATTTCTAAACAGACTTCGTGCAATCGCACGGTACAATTTCAACCACTTCAAAATGTTGCTCATGAAGAGCATTTAGACATCATTTGGTGCAAGAACCATGGTAGCTTAAGGTAGAAGAAAAAGAAGGATGGCGTCCATGGCTCCTCCTGGGTGATGCCACTGAATGCTGGAAAGGGTTCCCTGGAGCTGGGCTAGTTAATACCTTGCTTTATCTTCTCCCATCTGCACTTGAAGTGAATAAATTATTTACCTTTCACTAATTACTCAAATTAGTATTTTGGGGGTCAGGGAAGTTAGTATTTTAATAAAAGTGGGTTTCTTCTGAGCCTGTGTCCCCGTCCCCTCCACCATTTGGTTTGTTGTATTGAGGCTCCTCAAGGTGCCAGGAACAACACATTAGTTGGGAGGGCAGTGCTGGGGCTCATGCTGTTCCTCAACAATGTCCCTTAATACCCTTATTACGCCTCCCTTTGACAGAGGGAGGGCTTAGGTCACTGGCTTTCAAAGTTTCACCTGCAGAGGGGACCCCTTAATCTAACTCCTGCAGTTGAAAGATCCCATGTTTCCTTCTGGGGCATTCACTAACCCACCACTCCCCTCCTTGCCCTTTTTAAATCAGCTTGCCCACATCTCAATAATTAGAAAGTCTTCAACAAAGGTTTTCTTCTGGCATTCAGGTGATCTGCCTTGGATGTCAATCCTGAGTTAGCACATCTTTAGGCTGCATGCATTCCTCCAGGCTGGCTGACCCAGCAAGACGCTTCACTGGGCTTTCTTTCTTGGGGCTATAAAGGACACATTGTCCTATCCTGGGACAAGGAGAAAGGGTCATCAGGTGACAAAGGTAGCACAGGACTGAGGCATTTTAGTTTTCAAAGTATTATTAAAAAGCTAATAGGCTACAATTAGCCTTTGAACAATAATTCTAGTGTTCCTTTCTCAGTGTTCCCTGTCCTCTTGCAGGGTCTTCTCCAAGTCACACTCCAAAGTAAAGAAGTTTCCTTAAAGAAATACCTTCGTCTCTAATTTGATTCCTCCTCTATGTTTAGAAGTCTGAGGAAACGATGGACATGTCAGCCTTATAATTAATGATCCCTGCCATTTTGCATTTCCTCTGGCTTTGCACATATTTAATGAATGTGCTTGATATAAAACAGATAACCCCACCCCGGGGCAGCTTGAAGCCACTTGTTTCTCTTGGTGCATACATGCCAGAGTTTTTGATGAACCCAGTGACAATTTAAAGTTGGCACCAAAGCTTTCTTGCTCTATGCACTCCCCCTACCCCCTTTTTAAAGGAAAGAAATTCAAATCGGTATTGGAGACCTAAAGTGGTTTAAAAGATATACTTGTAATTTCAGATAATGCTTTTAGGAGCTCTGATAAGATACAATCTCTCAGGCTGGCAGGACCCTATCACACCCTTGGGACCTAGCCAGGCATAAATTGTTGTTTTCATAGTCCCTGACTTAACACGCTTACATTTCCTTTAAAAAGGGAAGGGTGGGGGAGGTTTGGAGGGCACTACATCTTTCTTACAAATGTTTAGTTGCAGGGTATTTAAACTTGTTTAGTTTCCTTGATGAAATAGAGGATTTTGAGAGCAGAGTAGAATACAATTTAAGTGGATTAACTGATCTAAAATGTAAAATCACTGCTAATTACGTCTCATGCCATCATATACCTTCATCCCCCCAGTGAGAGGTGTGTATGGTGGATCGGGATCAGGACAGGCACACTCCAGTGCTTGCTGAGAGGGACACACGTGGGTGAATCACTCGCTGCCTGCCCCTGTTCCCACATCTGTGCAGCGGGGACTGAGTGTGTGTCTGTCTGCCTGATGCTTTCATAGGGTTGTTGTGAAGATGCAGTGAAATAATAGATGTGAAGGCTGTTAAATGCAAAGTAAAAAGGCAAGCTGTTATTTGGGACTGAATTACACATGCTTTGCCAGTTAACTCTCGTAACTGGATCTCTGTTTACTAAGCTGCTTCCTGCTTTGCGACCAGTTAGGGAGGAGATGATATATGTGAGGAAAGCTCTTTGAAAAATTAAATGCAGTGTAAAAGTGCAAGGTATTATTATTTGCAAGGGAATTACAGACACGGAGGAACATCTGTGGGTTCTGAGGGTCTGACTGTGGAGCAGGCTCCTGCCTTGCCGACAAGGAGGAGAGGAATGTGGGTGAGAAGCTCGGAACACGGGGCTGTGACGAGCGGCCACCCCCTCGCACTGCATGGCTCCTGCGGGTTCTGTGTTCTCTTCACGTGACCATTAGGCCTTCTCTACTTGTCCACTGTCAGGCGCTCAGTTGCTGCATTCCGACAGGACCACACTGGCCTTCAGGGAACATTCTGTCAACTAAGAACCTCAGTTTTCTCATATATAGCAGTCTCAGCTGATCTCTTTAAAGCCCCGATAAAATATAAGACGATAATAAACTCCAATGTCAACTTGACATTTCTGACAGAAACAAATGTACACATTGTATTCACTAATTTAGTTTCATCTTCCCAAAGTTTAGAGAGATGTAATACCAACTGAGTTAATTTTGTGTGTGTGTGGAAGATTGTATTTATTTATTTAGAGAGAAAGGAAAGGAGGGAGAAAGAAAGGGAGAGAAACATTGATGTGTGAGAGAAACATTGACTGATTGCCTCTTGCATGCCTCCAGCTAGGGACCTGGCCCACAACCCAGGCATGTGCCCTGAGTGGGAATCGAACTGGCAACCTTTTAGTCTGCAGGCTGGCACTCAAGTCCACTAAGCCACACCAGCCAGGGCTGATTTTCTGATTCACTACCTGATATTTTATACACACATATATGCATATACATATATACACACACATACATATATAATGTATTAAGATTACTGGTTCAAGATTTATATATAGTCAAGGTTTCTGATTTCCAAGACTTTATAGCAAAACCAGATCTCACTCTTAGAGGATTATTTGGGTCAGAATGAATGCCAACTGCAAGACTGGACACTATTTTTTTTTTTTTTGAAAGAGAATTAAACTACAAATGGAAGTTCCTTATTTTCATGTTTTCAAGTTTTCTACAAACTCTTGAGGGATATAATCCAGTACAAAGCAAATATTTACTCTTGAAATTTCCATTAATAGTTTAGGGTTTGGATTACCCTTCAAATTGAGGAGATTCCCTTCCATGTGAATCCAACACTCAATTGTATGCAGCAACTGAAACCAATAACCACAAAACCATTGTTTTAAGAATACCATATAATAGGATAATGAGCTACCTATCACATACTGGACCTCATTGCGATTTGATTTATCCAGCGTTCACCCATGGAAACTTGTTTTAATTTAGAATACATGTAGGAAAATTAATCAATACATTTATAATCTATCTTCAATAATATGAATTTATTTTGGGGATTTGAAATTATAATTACATTATACAATCTTTGCTTTATCCCCTCAATTTAATAGAGTAGTTAAGAGCAGAGACTTGGCACTCTGGTGCTTGTACTTGAAACAATTCTTCAGTACTGAGATGGCAGGTTATTCACCTTGTGAGTTCACCTCCCGTAAACCTCAGTTTTCTCATCTGTGAAATGTGCATTAGTGTATCTGCCTGACTTACATTATGGTAGCAAAAACTTATCTTATGGTTTTCAGATTTTAAGAATATTTTTTTTAATTTTTTTAATAGACGGAGTAAATACAGTAAAGCCAAGCAAGAAGCAGATGAAGAAAAACATTTGAATCAAGGTACAAAAACTTGATTAAAAGTAATTTTAGTTTTAGAGCATGTCTTCTGTTTTCAGTTTTGAAATGTCTAAATAATATTCACATGGCTATTCATATTCTAGTCCTTTTATGGAATTATCCAGATATTGTACTTCAAGGTTATCACGCTGAAATAGGTGATTGGGGATTTTTGAAAGTGAGATTAAAGATGGGGATTGGGGGAATTCTTTTAGATTTTGTTTTCTTTTCTTTTATCCTTCTTCCTGAAAAGGTATTGGTCTACCTGGCTCATTTTTGTAGCTGTGAGGCAAGATCTAACAGATAAAAAATTTTACTTTCTTCATATTAGAAGGTAAAATATATAGAGAGAAGGAATACGAAATTGAAATTTCATTGCTCTGCCTACGAAAATAAGTAGAATTCAAGACCAACAGTATTTCTTTAGTGGATCCTGTTTTGGTTTTTGTTTTTAATCCAAACGGGGTCAAAGAATGAACTCAGAGAATTGGCTCTATAATGACTTGAGCAAGAGAGAAGACTCTTAAGTAGACAGAGTTTGAAAGCTCCTTAGGAACACTGTTCAGCAAGAATTTTTGAGATGATGGCCCCATGGTCTCCTTCTGCACTGCCCAATATATCAGCCAACGGCCACGTGGACTCCTGAATACTTGAAACATAGCTAGTGTGAATGAGGGAGTAAATTTCAAATTCTATTGAATTTTAACTAATTTACATTTAAATAGCAACATGTGGCTCATAGGCACCCTATTAGACAACGCAGGGAGGTAAAAGGAAGAGAGAGTCTAGGGGTAGGAAGGATAATATTGAGAAAAATGAGAAAGATTTTCTTGGGTAGAGCATAGGAAGTGATGGAGGACATGGAGTGCCTGACGGCTCTTTATTTGTTCACTTTGTTTCCTTTCTAAAACCGTTCTTTTTAATTTGCATGATGTATATATTTTTAAAAACAAAAATGTCATTTTTTCATTGTGATGAAGACAAGACTGACAAAGCCTGGAAAATCAAAGGGATTGGGCCATTCAATGTCTTAGATCCTCTCTGTGCCCCAAAGCCCCAGGAGCTCAGGCAGGGAAAGGAGAGGTGTGAGTGCTGGTAGAGGGTTCCTAGTGATTACGAGTGCCTCTCTGGGCTGCTGCTCCAGAGTCCCTTTCTGAATTTAGTTTGCAAGTGACTGTGGGGTATGGCTGAATACACTTCCTGGTATTCAAACCAAACCATTCACCGTTAGGCTACATTTCATCTGCTAAAGCTTCCTGATGAACTTCAATGACTTTACTTTATCCCAAAACAGAATAAAAGTTGAGATCCAACACAGAAGCTATGTTCCCAAGTCAATTAGCAGATCTTATTCCTCTTGTCCATTTTAACCTAGGTTTAATCTTAGTTTATTAGTGGTCGGTCACATATTAATTGGTCCAGATATTGGGTAAAAGGTGGCACCATGTAGACAGGGCAGTTGAAAAAGAAAGCTTTTATTATCTTTCATAAAGGAGGATGGCTGGAAAGGTGGGTAGGACATGAACAACTGATCAGGACAGCAATACTCAGAGCGAATACACTCCCAATTTCCTTCTTCATTTTCTCCATTGGATGAGTGGTTTATTAAAAATTTGTCCTTGAAGTGCGAAGATACTCCACGTCAGAAGTCAGTACAGCTGCAGCCTCTTCAGTAGCTAACAATTCTTTGTTTACCCACTAAGGAAAACCAGAGCAAGAATTTAAACATTCTCACACATCTACGCTAAGTATTTTTCTCATTCTGAAGAAAACTCTTCCTGTGCTAAGTATTTTTAGACTTACTTAAGACAACTTAAGTTTATTCGTGGCTCCTGAGAAGTGTTTGGTCATCCTCTCATGTGTTTATTATGTAGGTGTTAGAACTTATGTGGATCCCTTTACATATGAAGATCCCAACCAAGCAGTTCGAGAATTTGCCAAAGAAATTGACGCATCCTGCATTAAGATTGAAAAGGTCATAGGAGTTGGTAAGTGTCTGAGTATCTGTCTAATAAATGTATTTTCTTTGTGGATATTAAATCTCTATATGTGATTATATCAGTGTGTATGAGTATATTGTATGTCTCTGTATATATGTAAATATCTGTACATAAAATTTCCTTGCTCTATGAAACACTAATTATGTTGCCTGGCTTGTAATAAGCAGTCAACAAATGTTTGCTATTACTCTTTCATCTTGCCTGTGATCCTGGTCCATAATCAATTCTTTTTCTCTCCCAAAGGTGAATTTGGTGAAGTTTGCAGTGGGCGTCTCAAAGTGCCTGGCAAGCGAGAGATCTGTGTGGCCATTAAGACGCTGAAAGCTGGTTATACAGACAAACAGAGGAGAGACTTCCTGAGTGAGGCCAGCATCATGGGACAGTTTGACCACCCGAATATAATTCACTTGGAAGGCGTCGTCACCAAATGTATGCGGGTCACTCCCTTTACAAAGCCAAGTTAGAAGTTACTGGCAAATTAAACACACATTTTCTTTCCAGGGAAATGACAGATGGAGCAGACCCACTGATTGCTAATAGGAGGAAATCAGTGCAGGACATGTCATTAATCTTGTAGTCAGCTCTAAAGGGGTCTATGGTTTAGGCTGATACCACTCTTTCCAAGGCAGCTTGTGTGAGATTTTAGGGAAATTAATATTGCAGGTTTTTGGTATGCCTCGCCATCTTTCAAATCTTTGCTAGACCCAACTGATTGTCACAGGGTAGGCGCAAGCAGATGGTAAGCAAAATAAATTGTAAGTACTTTTTACATAAAGCACAACACAACCTCGCCACACCTAGTGCTGGAGGCTTCCGTTCCAGATGCAGGGAGGGGATCTTGGGAATCTTTATTAAATGGGAGATTTGCTTGTCTGCTCTCCCTGATTTATGGCGGCTGCAGTTCAGCACCCAGTTGCAGTAACACCTGGTTGAACTTTCCTTTTTTAGTCCATTAGTGTTCCCTGAGCCTGTGAACCACGCTTCAGTTAAAATACAACACAGCTCAACAGATGTATTTTACAAAGCAAACCCTGAATGTGTTGGGAAGGCTGGCTAAGACCAACTTATAAAATGCCACATGGACAGTGCAGCTGAAGTGGTTATTACTGAAGGTGGCTCTGTTCCAGGAGCCCTAGTACCTCCTACAGTTCATGCAGTCAAGGGTCTTGTAAGCCTGGGGCTATGTCTCCAGGAAGCCGAGGTGCCTCTTAGCAGTTTGAGGTGCCTGTGAAATGCATCCTCAGACAATGGTACAGAGGGACTGCTCCAGTAGGTGAAGGGGAGAAGGAAGTGTAGGTTAAAGATTAAACTTTGGACATAAGACCTGGGGCAGAGGGGGAAGTAAGACACAAGGCATAAAGCCTTTAAGAGAAAATGAGGTTACTAAAAAGTGAGAAAGTATACACCAGTTCAGAGGTCCCCAAACTTAAACCTGCAGCAGAATCCTGGGAAATTCTCAAAACAGTTTCCTGAACCTCATCCTCATAGGTTTGATTCAGCAGGTGGGGTGAGGTCCATGTGTTCAAATTTCAGGCTCGAAGGTAAGCCAAAAGTGCATGCAGTTCCCGGACCACGCTAGGAGAACCTTCAGTGGGCCTAGAGACCAAAGACTTACACATAACTCTACTGCTAGTTGAACATGTGGCCTTGACTTGTTGCTCGATATTTCAGTCTCCTCACCTGTAAAATATAGATAAAAATAGAACTTGCCTTACAAGGTTATTTTGGATGAATTAGTCAGCATATTTAGCATAATGGTTGGCACATTAAGAAAAAAAACAAAAACAAACCTCTTGCATGTTAACTGGTGCTACTATGTCTTAAGAAGTATATCTTTCCTCATCTTCAGAATTCTTCAAAAAAAAAAAAGGAACTTTAGTGTGAAGGATATATAATTTTTCCACCTCAGGTGAAGGCTATAATTAGCATAGAATAGCTCTATTTGCTTTTTAAGATTGGTTTTACAGACAGGATATTTTTCTGTTGCCTGTGGCCTTTGGGCCTGCCCAGGGTCCTTCACTACTTTAATTAAAAGATAACATTCTGTTTAAATACTTCTGCAGGTCCAGTTTCTCAAAAGGAGGCTCTGTTCAGCGTTGGGTATTTTTCCTGCCACAGACAGTGATTTTCACAGCACCTCTGTAGAAGAGAGGAGAAACAGGGGATCTTTGTGTGAAAGTCCCACTGCGCCTCTAAAACCCACAGCTATTACAGCTGTAACTGTTATAAACGACTGGGTGCATTTGCATAATGCAGTTGTCACTGAATTAAAATGATTTAAAATTTCCACCAGAGGAACTGTCCCCTCCCCCTCCCTCTCCCCTGCCCACTGCACCCCTACCCCAGCCTGTTCCAGAAAAGGAACCGCCCCCCTCCACGAGCCCAGCGTAGGCCCATTTTATAAGCCCCTTTGCTTCTGGAGACATTCATCTTTATTTCTCTTGTAGAGCTCATAAAGATTCTGACAAATGGATACTGTTAATAAGCAGAGAACGGAATGCAGAAAAATCGTGAAGATGGTGCCAACAGTCGGACTAGGGAGGTGTGAGGGTGCAAAGGTGGACTGGAAGAGTGTGAATTCATTACCAGCAGTTACTTGAGTAACTTTTTAAATTGACAAGGAGACTATAAATTCTCTCCACTCCCCCCACCCCGTCTTTTGGATCCTCTACTCTCTTCCCCACACCTCCAGAGGGGCTGGTGAAATGGAAGTAGGTGTTAATGCACCGCCAAGAGAGCCACCCTTCCTCATGAGTTGACAAAGTACCTTTTGATTGAGACAGGTTAATTAAAACTCATTTAGAGGCATTTGTTCTGTCTGGAGGACTGTGGCCGCAGATGGAGAGAGTGACTGAATCGAAGGACTAAGAGCTTCTTCCTGTTTGCGGGGACAGAGGGGCATGGGGACCGTTCCCGCAGCCCAGGGCAGAGACTGGAGGTGGTCTCCCTCCTCCTTCGGTCTACACCGAGACTCCCGCTTTCCCTGCCAGCTTTCATTCCTCGCTTGACAATAAAATCGCCGTGGGGTTGATTTCCAATCCAGAATTTTTGCTTTGGAAAGATTTCTAAGACAGGACACTGAAAAAATGCCATCAAAAATTGATAAATTGCACTTTGTTGAATTTAAAAATGTCTGCTCTTTAAAATGTTTGCCCTTGGAACAAAGACAAATGTCCTTTCCCCCACACCACAACAGAGTATTTTGACAGGGGTTCGGGTTGGGAAATGTATCAGTTTAGAATAATTTGGGGGGAAGGGGCTCTTCAGCAGTGATATATCCCAGCCCGTGTTCCCTAAGTCCAAATAGTCGACAATTAACAGAAAGTGTGAATATTTTTTATTTATTTTCAAACTAACATTTTATTTTCCTCCCAGGGAATCTTTTATGTTCTTTGCTCTAACCCTTCCCTTAGTATAATATTGAGAATTTACACGCCGCCCTTCCCTCATACCCCCCTCCCCAAATCCCCTTCAGAAAAAAGGAATTTCAGACCTTGAGTCCACTGCCAGTGACTAAGAAACTAAAGAATGGTTCTTATTTCCTAGGTCCTCAGAAAGAAAACTGAAGTGAAATAAAAGTGGTATTTCCTCCACTTTCCCCAAACCTGAAAATCATTATAATTTCTTTGCTGAAAGAAAGAAAGATGGAAGGAAGGAAGGAAGGAAGGGAGGGAGGGAGGGAGGGAGGGAGGAAGGAAGGAAGGAAGGAAGGAGTGGGGAACAAGAATGTTCTAGCTCTGAATTAAGATTGCAGTCTAGGATGAAACAATACAATAAACCTTTTCTGTGATGTTGCTGTTGCTGCTGAAGTTGGTGGCTTAAGGAAACAAATAGAATACATTTATTTATTGAAAGGAAAAGGGGAGAGAAAGGATATAGCCCTTAATCTGGGCAAGACAAGGAAAGAAAATAATTTTCATGCTTGAGCTTTAAGATGTGTCTGAGCAATGAAGTAGTCAACATAGCGACTGTTTCCTGAAACTCAGGTTTCTCCAAATAGGTAAAAAAAAGCTTTGCCCGTCCATGGATTCAACAGTACAAGTGGTTCTTCTGGGGATAAAATGAATGAATTATCCTAAAGATTTTTTTTTTCCGCCTTAAAACAGGCCTGCGCATTTATCGTCTTCCCCTTCTGCTTGAGAGAGCAATCATCCATTCACGTGCTCCCCCAATACTGGAGGCCGCTTTAGTTACAGGCCTTGTCAACAAGCCATGCAAAGGGTTAACCTTCCAGATGGAATTTAAACCTACTCGTCTTTTTAATATTTCATTCCTAGCTCCCCACAGCTGAGACATAAGCTTGGCTTGTTTTAATTAAATTAGATCACACAAGACAGGTGTCTTGGCAATAAAATTGTGCGTAGCCCATTTTTATCTCCTCCACTGCAATGCTCATCAAGGGTTTGTGTTTTTCTTTCTGAAAACTCTAGGTAAACCAGTGATGATCATAACAGAGTACATGGAGAATGGCTCCTTGGATGCATTCCTCAGGGTACGTGGCTGCTCTATATTAAACCCAAGAATGTGGGTATTTAGAAAACTAATAGACCCTTCACATCTGTTCTACTTGGTGGTATTTTTTAATGGGGCAAAGGAAGAAAAAGAGAAATAGAGAATGATGTAATTTTTAAAAACCGTTAAATAATCCATGTTCAACTGGGGTAGGATTTGATTTATTCTTGTATTGTGGGGCTGTTTGAACCATAGATTCATTATAGTTGGATAATTTCCATCTATCACAGGAAGCAAATACAACTTCTTAGATATACTCACTTTACTAGTGAATTAATGACTTTGGTCAAAAAGGCCCGGAAATAATGTTGAGTTGGATTGCATACCGGATACAGATATCAAAAAAGATCCCAGTCATAAAGGCTCGGTGAAAATTAATTTGGTCTAATGCTAATGAGATTGTTCCTTGCTCCTTTCCTATGCAGAAGAATGACGGCAGATTTACAGTCATTCAGCTGGTGGGCATGCTTCGTGGCATTGGGTCTGGGATGAAATATTTATCTGATATGAGCTATGTGCATCGAGATCTGGCTGCACGGAACATTCTGGTAAATAGCAACTTGGTCTGCAAAGTGTCTGATTTTGGCATGTCCCGAGTGCTTGAGGATGATCCGGAAGCAGCTTACACCACAAGGGTAAGTTCTCAGTTTTGCCTCTAAAACTGTTCCTCTATTCTTATTTTGATGCTTAAGCTCTTTGTGATTTTACAAGTTTCCCCATCCTTAAGACTCTCTTCATACCCATGCATCCATTTTTGAACCATGTTTCCTAGACAGGGATTTTGAAACAGCTTCTATGTGTGTGACTTTGCACTTTACAAAGCCACAAAGTGGAACTTCACTTACTGTATTTTTTTTGTATTTAATTTTTCTTCCTTTCACTCCCTGCTTCTCTCCATCTCTCTATCCTTCCCTCCTTTCTTTCCTTCCTTCTTTTCTATTTGTTTTAGATTTTTTTATTTGGTTCATTTTTATTATTAATATTGATATTATTTTAAACAAGACAAACAGTGTTTCTGGTTGGTTGGTTTCCGACTCTGAGAGTGTATATACAGGATTTATAAAACATTTACTCTGTGCGAGGTTTTCTAGTATCTAATGGCTTTCATTTTACTGCTGGTAGATAAGCCAGGATTAAGGCACAGTTAAGAGTTATCAGTATCCAGTTAATGGCTATGCTATCTTGGCTGGACCATGGGAATATAAGATACTAATGGAATAAACACAGAATCATAAAAATTATTGGCCATTAGGGCTGACACGGTTAAAATCAACATGAAGGAGACAGTTACCAGCCATTTAATGCTTACCATTTTGTATGTGCAATCCTGAGCATTGGCTTTTTTGTTTGTTTGTTTGTTTGTTTGTTTTTCTTGTAGTGTTAAGTTTCTTTGGCTCTAGTTTTAATTCATACACGTATCCTCTTTTGAATCTCAAATGCTTTCATTTAGGAAAGAATACATCTTTATGAATGCCAGAGATCTTTTATTTTGTCCCAGTGATTAGAAAGAGACAAGTTAAAGGAGACTTCTTAAATGATGCATTTACGTAGATAAAACCTTAGCCAAATATTTAAGGAAGGCAGAGGCGACACAAACGTTCTTCTGTATGTGATACGTATAAATGTGATAACACTGGGTTTTCAGAGTAAATTATACTGAATCACTGCAATTTCTAGTACAATATATTGTCCGTTTTAGTAGCCCTAACAAAGCAAACTTTTAAATGATGTCTTCTTGAACTGCTTTAGGGTCTGAATTCAATTTGAATTAATTTCCCCAGATGGAACCCTAAAAAAATTTGAAACTCAATTAAAACAAAAGATATTTGAAGAGGAAAAACCATTATCAACTTTTCCTGGGTCTTAGTCAGTTGCTTTATCAATTTTGCGGGGAGTGGGGCAGGGTTGGTACGTGTGTTTCGATGTGTTTTGTTCTTCACTTTATTAAAGTCAATAATGGCTCTAGCAGCTACCATTATTTGGCTGCCTCCAAGAGTCTGTTTAGTGTATTATCTTCTAGTTATGTTGGGCATGTTTCTCATGCCTTTGTGCTGCTGGGTGACAAAATTTAACAAGAAGTCAGAGTGAGTATCAGCTGTACCTCCATTGATATACCGTGGTGAACACAACTATCTTGTAAAACTTGAGATTCTTTCTCTTCTGCAATATTGCCCTAAGCAGAGCTCAGATAATAGGTAGACTTTTAAAAAATAATTAAACGGATTACTTGTTCACTTCCCTGAGACGAAAGAAAACATCTAAGGAGAACTGTTTTTACCCGGAAGACTTTAGTTACAATAAACAAGTCTCCTGTTGTTGTTTGGAGAGCTATCTCAGGAATGCTTTTGTCCTGCTTGGGAAACAGCGACAACATTCCGAAACTAACGTGGCACATCAGCAAAGTACTTAGGGAATAACTTATGGCTCAAATGTTCATAGGGTGGCAAGATTCCTATCCGGTGGACTGCACCAGAAGCAATTGCCTATCGTAAATTCACATCAGCAAGTGATGTATGGAGCTACGGAATCGTCATGTGGGAAGTGATGTCGTATGGAGAGAGACCCTATTGGGATATGTCCAATCAAGACGTGAGTCTCCATGTTCTGCAATATATGCCTTTGCATTGAGATTCAGGATGTTTTGCATTAGCGTATGACGGAGTGCACGTTGAGCTTGAAATAATGCATTGAACTCAGGATTCTGAGTACAGATGTGTCTAGTAATGTAGTTAAACCTTATAGTGGTTGATTTCAAGAACCAAAATTACATAGCCTAAATGTTATAGTACGGAAATAGATTAGATAGATAGACAGATACATGGATTAGTGACATGGAACAATATTTTAACTGGGGTGGCTGTCAAACTTGTACTGAAATAAAATTAAACTTTGAATTTAAGAAAATGCAAGGATATATGAAAAACACACATTTCACATCTGATAAAACTGACATGAAAGGTTTATTGGAAGAAAACTAGTGAATATTTTAAAGCTGACAGAGTTGTAATTAGAGCTTGCCCCTGGAGGACTCTAAAATAAAGCTTCACTAAATGACCCTTTGTAAATTATGCACATCCCTTTAAATGTACCATCTGGACTACTTCGTAAGGGAGTATCCACAATGCCTGCAATTTCAGAAAAGCATTCAATAATGACACTAATAAGATTCCAGAGTAATAGAATTTAATTACAAACATCTCCAGTAAGAAAGGACGGGGGGCGTGTGGGGGCCCTAGACCAGTGGGTCTTCCTAGAACACTTACTAGCTAATTCAGGAAAGGTTTTAGTTCTGGAAGGGTTGGAAATCAGATCACAATAAAATGTATGTTCTTTGAACTTCTAAAAATTTTATATATATGAGGTAGAAAATTAGCATAAAGTGTCTACCAATGCAGGTATATTCAGTTTATATTTTAGGAAAAAAAATCACCTTTTAAAAAAATTATCTGTGACGTGGAATATTACCTGACCATCTGTTATGCCCTGAAACACAGGGACTTGCGAAGCCTTGACAATTCAATGAAGAACCTTACATACTTAAGACATAACGTGCTTGTAGACTTATCAATAAAAGAGTGTTCAGAGCAGTAGAGAAGCTAATGAACTCCATGTCTTGTGGGGCAAAAAGAATTCTCTAACCAGATTAAGAGGAATGATTATGTTGACATTGGATTATCTGTAAATTGTAAAGGAAGGTTCATAGCAGATGGAGGAATGATAGCAGCTAGCATAGCTGATAGATAATTACAAGCTGGAAAAGACTGTACATGTGAATGGTGTATAATCTATTGTCTGATGTGCTGCGCAGACACCTTCAAGTGCCTTTCTTGTAGCAACATTTGTTTTTGAGTTAGAGATTTTCAGAGGGACAAGGACAAGTAACCTAAATGAACAAGTAGTATGTGTATTCATTTATTTAATTATCTTACAATTAAACTTTATTTTAGTTGAGAGTCATGGTCTAGTGCTCATAACAGCAGATTAACTAAAGATTTTGTTAGTTTCCCTGCCCTAAATCTTTTCAGACCTGTAGTTTTCATAGTTTCTATATTATATTAAAATCATTTTGGTTGTTTTAAATTTTCAGTTGTCTGGCTTTATCTACGAAAAAGCATCTGAAGCATTTCTGTCCCACAAATCATATTGATCTTGCATTCATGTGTATTTGTCTTGGTGTTGGGTTCTGTGTAGAACAGGAATCAATAGGAAATGTAACTGCAGAATCACTTTCATGAGTAGAATTCATTTGGCATACAGTGAATGAGTCAATGTAACTGTTGAAAATATGTCAAACTTATCAAGATATTTTTTGGTTTTAATCCTCTCCCTCCCCTCAGGCCCCCTCCAAAGAAAACCATTCAGCAGTAAACTGAGAAAATATGCTTTGTTAACCCATAAGCTGTCTTCCAGGTTGGCAGTGGGGAGGGAGCTAATGAAAGAGTAGTAAGCAGTCAGAGGGGTTATAACAAATTGTATTACCCTGGCATTAGCCCAATGTTGCTTGGATTGTCATCAATTCAATATAAAGAGTTTTCATCAAGTCTAGAGTCAACACCCTGTACCTGGAAGGATAAAAGAAAGTGAGAAGATCAAGCTGACCTAATGTGATTACCAGAAACAAATAGAACCATGTTCAGTGAGGTAGCATATAGAAAGAAGTCCACTTTAGAAGGAGAAGTAAATTAATACTAATAAAACAGGATGTTGGCAAAAATTCGTGGGACAAAAAGGACCACAGGGCTTAATAAACCACAAGATGGTTGTTAAGCTTAAACACCGTGCTGCTTAAAAAGACAAGTCATACTGGTACATAGAAATTGGACCCAACTGAACTGACCATTTTGTGTTCAAAGGCTAATTATTCAGCACTAAATAGGTGAATCCAATGTGGTCATTGAGACAGCTATGGCCACTGGTTGTTTTGCTGGCAACTATAGTTTTTAAAACAAATACAACTTTTAAAAAAATCCCCAAACAAGTAAAATCACCTCCCGAATCTCATAGGATACCCATAAACAAAGTTTATGAGTAGCCAAGAAATTATGAAGTAATTCCCCTCTTTAAATTTGGCATGAGTCACGCTGTATTGCATTACTGGGATTTATGCCATAGAGAAGGGGGGGCGTTAGAGAAAAGTCAATAAGAAAAATACTGTAATACCTGTGAAGACAGATTAGAAAAATTAGAATTGGAAGAAAGACTGTTGAATGGTTTATTTCTGTCTTATTAGGCACCCTGGGTAGTAAGACAATTACCTCCTACCATTTGAACTTTTTTCCTTAGATGTGTCAGGGTTGGTCCCCTTTAAAATATAAATGCCCTGAAAGAAGAGTAAAAATATTTTTGCTATTACTTTTTTAAAAAATCTACTTAGTAATATAACACCCTTAAAATGATTAAGTGGCAGCCAACTGAGATGGAGAGAGAGATAGATACAAAATTGGCATATTGGTGCATTTTGGTCTCCCAAAAGTAGAAGTGGCCGGGCATCTAGAAAGACTGAGGAATGTGCCAGTTCAGAGGTTGGCAGGGTTTTTTGGATGGGGAGGTCTCAGAGGTAGTCTCCAGTTTTGACCCATTCGCTGTCTGAGCAAGAAGGCACAGGTTTAAAATGATGTGAAGGGACTTCCATTTTGGAGGCAACTATAATGCTTCCTAAAGAAGGTCATTAACAAGGTCATGATCTCTTTTGACTAAGAGTTTTTAGCAGATGCTGAGTAACAGAATGGGGAGAGTCATTGCAGTGTGATTTCTGAGGGTCGAGCCAACACCATATTGTTGCTCTGACTGGGTTTTAATCACTGGAACATGGATGGAGCTTCACTTTCGAGTTTCACGTTGGCATGGGCTGCCATTTGAGAGCGCCTCACAGCAACAGGCCTACCCTGTTGCCAGTGATATGCAGGTTCAGCTTGGCTTCTGTGAAGAAACTGGAGGTGTTCCCATGTTCACACTCACTGGCAGTTTAATGTGCAGAGAACTTGCTGATCAGGATGGTGAACCACTAACAACAGCTTGCCAGGCAGCTTAACATACTCTGTTTCCTTCAATAGGTGATTAAAGCCATTGAGGAAGGCTATCGGCTCCCCCCTCCAATGGACTGCCCCATTGCACTCCACCAGCTGATGCTAGACTGCTGGCAGAAGGAGAGGAGTGACAGGCCTAAATTTGGGCAGATTGTCAACATGTTGGACAAACTCATTCGCAACCCCAGTAGCTTGAAGAGGACGGGGACCGAAAGCTCCAGGTGAGCCATGCTTACTTAACAGTGATGTATGAAAGAATGCATTAGAGATGGCAGGCCAGGGTGACTCATGTTGATTCCTGCCTTTTAGTCAGAGGGCGCTTCGTAGCTCTCTGCAGCCTGGGTGGTTTCTTGGTTATTGGAGTATTTGTGGAAATTCTCTTCATCATTTTGAAGAGCCAAATACCTGTCAGGCCTCAGGGAATAGTAAGAAAAACAAAATTTTCCTGAAAAAGAAAATAAAACAAAGTTAAAGTGCTTATTTCATGACGCTGGACCTGAAAAGTTAGGAAGAGGGATGAATGTACTTTTGGAAGACATTTAGGTTACCAGATGCTATATTTTGAAAAGGGAAAGGGCATTGGGTTTGTAAAAAGAAAGGATTAGAGGACAGCTCTTTATGCACTGCAATTTTCAGTTGACTTATAAAGTATTGATTTTTGCAAGAGATGCATTAGGCTTCAGTCCTTCAAGTTTCTCTTGTCTGAGTCTTTCAAGAGAAGCAGAAGACAAGACCAAGATAAAAACCGATCAAGATATAAAGCAGGCAGACGAATGTTTGAGAAGGGTTTTAGAACTGGAGTGATTGAACCACCTGTAAAAGTTGTCGTTGTTTCATTGGGAAGAGTAAAACGAAGTGTATCAGTCCAGAAAGAAGATAAAAGATACTGTAAGTTCTATAGTTCAGTAGGAACTTTTCTTCAGAGAGGCTGAGCTTTAATGGCTTTAGGTTCAAGATACCTAGATACCAGTTCCATTGCAAAAGGTACAGGCCATCGTTATCAGTTATGTGATTTAAGAGGACAGGCGTAGTACGACCAGGCGATTGAGGCTTGCATGAGGTGAGGCATCGACTCATCCCCAAATCTGCACTTCTCAAAGTCACCTCTTCCATCATGACCTTGAGTTAAAAACAGGAGGCTGTTTTTCCCATGCTATGCAAACCCTTTCTGTTGGCCAGAACTGAGATGTTTTCCCCTAGTCTGTCTCCTGAAAACCTAGCCTAAAGGTTGCACACAAGAAAAACCACACTTATTATAAAAAAGAATTTGGAGCAAACAGCAGAGGTACCTTCTGTTCTCTTTCAGGCTTTCAGATTCCTTGGCCACTATACAAAGGGTTTAATGGTCAGCATTTCTGCAATAACATTGGGCTGAATTCACACGTTACTCCTGCCACTTGGCAGCTATGTGACCTAAAAAAAAAAAAAAAAAAAATTAACATTTCTCGGTTAGTTTCTGTTCTTCTGTTCCCTGAGATGGTGAAAATAGATGGCTCTCAAGCCAGATTTCCATGTAGCTGACTTCTTTGATTCCAATGTAAATCTCCAGCTTCTACCTCTCCAGCTCCAGATCCCATGTGTTGTTCCTGAGACTCCTGAGGCCTGTGTCATGGTGTTCCTACAAAGAGTTCAAAGACTTCTAGAACAAGCTTGAGAATATTCCTTAGGGTTAAGTGATATGGAGTTAGGAATATTTCCATTCTAAGGTCATTTTGACTTTCTCAGATACCTAGGGTTTACACATTGCCTATTAATGTTCTTGGCTTAAAGTTAGAAGTAAATGCAAACAGTTGTTCCTTGTTTAATAATGAATATTTGAATTGGTCAATATTCAATATTCTATTTCTAATGTCTGAAATTCTATGTGGTAATATTTGCTATTGACTCAAAATTGGGGGAAGAATTAAATCTTGACTATTCTTACAATAAAAATCTGCAGAATTTTCCTTAGAAAATTGGATATAATTGAAATAATGGACATAAAAGAAAGGTCACAAAAGCCAGCTATTTGGGCACAAAACTAACTGATAAAAACAAATCTGTTAAAATATTTACATAAAAGGTAATGCAAATCAAAATAACAGGTAAAAATTAAAATAAAAATGGAATTGGATTAATTTTGCTATGTAGAAGATAAATCAAGGCACTATATTGATTTAATTTTGTTTTTACAAGAAAAGGATTTTTTTAGTTGACAACTCAGTAACGATATACTTCTAATTTAATCATTTGTGTTCAAGCAACATAGTCTCAGGGTGAAAGTCATGTAAAAATGTTAAGGGAAACTTTATTCCATAATTTCTACAGAAAAGAGAATTTCGGGAAAATATAACTAAGGTAGCAGTGTTGTTACATAGGTACTGTAGTAAAGGTGGTATAGAATACCCTGTAAAGGTCTATCCTGTGAAATTAGCTCTTTTGATGATGATGACTTCTGAGTTTGTACCAAATGCTTTCCATTAATGATTTATTATATATCAATATTATAAAGAATGGCAGAATTCCTACCTTGAACTAGAGTCGCTCTTAACAATGACCTAATATATAACACCTGCCCTGAGAAATGCATAAACTAATAAATAAGTTAATAAAATGTGCTCAGATTTTGTTGAAATAATTAGTTAGGAGCCCCAGCAAAGGAATATAGGAGCACATTCCACCGTCTAAACAGTGATCAAAGTGGCCATTCTTCCTTCCAGTCTTGGCACGCGTGCTGGTCAGGCATGGGTTGATTAAAGGGGATTAACTCCCTGCTGTCTCAAGTTTGTTCGAATGCACTGAGACTGCCTGCAAACCTGGCTGGAAACACACTGGACTTGAACTCTTGCTGCTTTCTCCTTCCATCAAGTCTGGCAGGTTGACGCTCACAGCTTTCCTTACTCATACTTCACTAGGGTTTCCATAGTTGCTGAACCAAAGTCTGTAATATTCAGTGCTGGCAGGGGCTGGACTCTTTCTGCAATCAACTTCAGCCACAAGGGCTCCCCCAATCTCTACCCCAGGCTAGGATGTTAAAAGACGTGCTACATCATTAATGCACTATGAGGTTCACGTGAAACAAATGTGGGACATGAAATTAAGAATAGGGTGATTGATACATGCTTTAGATGGTTTCTCTTGGTGTTTCAGTTTCCCTTGTCTGTCTCAGGCAACCTGATTTCTGAGTCTTGCTGTCTCATTGATAGCTGTCTACATTTTCTTATTCCATTTCCAGACCTAACACTGCCTTGTTGGATCCAAGCTCCCCTGAATTCTCAGCTGTGGTATCAGTGGGTGATTGGCTCCAGGCCATTAAAATGGACCGGTATAAGGATAATTTCACGGCTGCTGGTTATACCACACTAGAGGCTGTAGTGCACATGAACCAGGAGTAAGTACTCAGCGATGTAACACAAAAGGGTAAATCTAGATTTAATAGTATTTTCCTTTTGTTTGCTTTGAGCTGCATAATCATCCTACCCATTAAAAACAAACAAACAAACAAACAAACAACAAAGCTGGAATGCCTTTCATTTTGATTGAGTATAATTTTATACAGCCTTTATAAAGCACCTACATTGTTGCATTAAATTGCTTAATTAAACATTTTAATAAACCTGCCTTGTTGTGCTGTATGAATTGTGGCTGATTCAAATGTGTGTCTGCATGAAACCCAGAGAAGAGATTCTCAGCCCTCCTAACGTGACTCTCTCTCCTTTTTCCCCGCTTCTGCATAGTGACCTGGCACGAATCGGTATCACAGCTGTCACACACCAGAATAAGATTTTGAGCAGCGTCCAGGCGATGAGAACCCAAATGCAGCAGATACACGGCAGAATGGTTCCTGTCTGAGCCAGTACTGAATAAACTCAAAACTCTTGAAATTAGTTTACCTCATCCATGCACTTTAATTGAAGAACTGCACTTTTTTTACTTCGTCTTCGCCCTCTGATATTAAAAAAAAGAAAAAATCTATCTGCAGTGTTGCTTGGTGTACAGACTGCTGGAAACTGGGGCTTACAGAAATGACCACCATCATTTGAATTCGACCTGGAACAAATTGTTTCTCGGAACCACTTCGTCCATCACCAGTTTGTAAAATACATGGACCTGTACAAATAGGACACCGCCTCTGAGTTTTAATGCCGTGTTTGCTGCCAGACACTGAGCTTCTCTGAGACATCTGATCCTCTCTCCATTGGGAATTACAGCCGTAGTATTTTGTTTGTGGCATAAATTACAGTCCCCCTTCTTTCACTGGAATGAAGGCCATGCCCAGGAACATTTTTGAAGGACTCACTTGTAGCTTTTAAGGCTTGATTCACATGAAGGGGAGAAACCTAGGTGGAAACCACATGGCTCATCAGTGTTGCTCCTTCAATGCTCAGGCCACTGGGTGGCTTGTGATGACATGAGGGGATGAAAAGTAAAGGAAAGTGGATTTAAAAATAAAAAATAATAACAATAAAACCCAAGCACCATACATATACCCTAACTGGACAAACAAGGTCTGTTTCTTTGGGCCCGAGGCTGTGCCATATAAAGTCTTGTTTTGGGGACTCTACAAACTTACCGTAACTACCTTACGGATAGTGGACTGGGACAATCTTGAATAGGGAACTTTGACACTTCCCTTCTTTAAAGAAGCAAACCCAAATCTCCAAGGTAAGGCAAAAAGAACCAGCAATGGATCTTTCTCCAAGGAAAACATTGTTTTTTGAAGGTTGATCCTATTTGAAACACTGAGCAGTAATTTTTTTTTTCCATGTCTATCAGGTAGTTGGGATTCTTTTAATTTTTCAATTCTCTCAACAACAGGAGAGAAGACCAAAACCAATATGGCTCCCGTACTATTTGTACAGGAAGGAGTAAAATAAGAGCAATATTCACTCAGTTTCAAGAGGATGGATCCTACTGGCTGTGCTTTCTCTTATACAGGGCTCTCCTGGCCCTTTGGTGCCCTTCATGACACAAATCTTTATTGAGCATCTTCTGGGTACCAGGGAGTAACCTTGAACCTTGCTGGGTCATGCACATGCCCTGTTCCTCAGAGAGTTTGCTCCAGTTGAGAATCCTTTCCATTAGTCTCATTTCATGTCCTGTTCTAGTAGCCCTTGTACCAGACAGGGTGAGCCAAGGCAGATTTACCTAGATGTCAATGGTGAGACTTGGAACTCACCTCGATGTCCTCATTATCATAAAGTGACCTATAATAAACATGTGTTTCATCCAGAAAGCGCTCTAACTTTAAGGTGCTTCTATTTTAATCCTGGAATTTTCTTCTTGAAACATGTAAACTAAATGGCTTTGTTCATGCCTCAGTTTTTGACTAGACAGATTTTAACTTTTTTTAACTTCTATTATTATCACTTTTGAACAGTAACGTGGACAATTTTAATAACCTTTTCCTCCCTTGGTTTTATCCTGAAAGCTATTTCTTATAGAGCAAAGAATACTAAATTTGATATTCTCAAATCATGACCATCTAGTAAAAACCTTTTGCAATATTAGTTACAAAAGCTTTTCTGTTTAGAAGGAATGCAAAATTTGTTTTCTAAACTGTCTTAACTATTGTTTCATTGCCACTTTTGCTAAAGCCTGGGAATTCTGGATGTTCATGATGAAAATTGGCAAATGTAGATACTTTTTTTTTCTTTGCTTGATCTTTAAAAAGTATAAATTCTTTCTTTCAGAAATATTGTGGATTATTTTATTTCAATCTTCACAGACTAATTCAAATAAGAGATAACATTATGGCATCTTATAAGTAGAAAGAGAATGTTACCTTGCATATATTGAATAATTAAAAGTTTTGTCTTCTTAAATTCAACAACTTAAGGCTTGAAGTATTTTTCTAAATATTGGACATATTCAAAACAGAACATTTTAAACAAAAGAGGTTAATTCTGAACTATTCTAAACTGGTGTCAGTTTGCTACTTCTCACTAGGTATCTCTTTTAATTAAATAATCAAGTGGGGATTGAAAGAAAGGTGGAATATGAAACTTTCATGCAGAGATTGCCTCCTGAATCTTAACTTTAACCCATGCAGGAGTTTAGAGTGCACACCAACGGAAAAGCCAACGAAAGCCTTTCCAAGTGTCTAAAATAACATCCAGTAGCGGTAAGAGCGTTAACGTCACAGCTTCTGCAAACTAACATATTTTAGAAGCGCAGTGTGAAGACAATAGAAATATTGCATTATTTCTCAGGGCGTGGAGCCAGAATCTGGCATCTAGACAGCTATGGATTCTAAAGCCAACTGAGATGTTGACACTGGGAAATTCACTCCATGTTTCTTTGCAACTCAGTTCCTCCACCTGGAAATTAGAGATAATGATACTTTAATAATAACTCCTTTCCTAACACATGTATTGTAAGTGTATATGAAATACTCTTATGTAAGACATACTGAACTTTACATAAGAGAGGTGTACTCTTCCTCCACAGTTTCCCAAGTGTTAGTCATCCATCTTTCACTTGTGAATCCAAATGTTTTATTGCAACATGCCAGAGTGAGGTGAAAAGAAGTTCAATGGTAGGGAACCATGCAGATGAAGCTTCTTCACTTTATATGGATTTATGAGTGTTTGGGGGTAAATGTGGATCTGTACAAAAAGTGGTACACCTATCAAATTACTCTTGCATTATTTAGCCTTGAAATTTATGAAATTTGTTTTATAATGGAAAGAGTGAAGTGCACAGGGAAGGTTCCATTGCCATGACAGGAACTGGATACTAATGACACTTTGATGTCCTCATGATTGACTCAAAGGAACAATGCTTTGTTTATTTAGTCACAATGAAAGTCACATTTTTTACCGATGATCCCACATAGACCACATGCTTTGTCTGGTCTCTGTTCCAGCAATTCCCCCACGATAAAGGAGTTGCCTGAATTCAAAGTAGAAAAGAAGGTTTATTTTTCTCCACTCTGGTTCTGGCAAGAAGTAGACATAAGCCTTCACGTTCCCACACTTCTCACTTCAAACAACCAATCCTGTTCACATACACGTGGTCCCCAAATATTACAAATGCATTTATATAATATATATTTACATCTAAGCATTAGGAAGAAGGGATTGGAAAATTGAAAGGAGACAGATGTTTTTAAGAAAATTAATATTTTTATTTTTACTTTTTGTATTTTGTTTCTGTTTTTAGTATTTTTATTGTTTATTCTATTACAGTTGTCCCAATTTTTTTTTCCTTTTGCCCCTCGCCACCCAGCCCACCCTTCTAGCCCACAGTCAGTCCCCTCTTTGTTGTCCATGTCCATGTGTCATTTATACATGTTCTTTGACTAGTGCCTTCCCATTCCTCCCACCATTCCCCCCTCCCCACACCTCCCCTCCTACAGCTATCAGTCTGTTCCATGTCTTCGTGTCTCTGGTTCTATTTTTCTTGTTAGCACATTTGTTTTTGAAACTACTCATTTTCTCCTAAGAATGGAATTTCTAGTAGTAAAAGATCACCACCTTCAAAATGCTTGCATATCCATATGGTGTTGGTTGTACTGCCTCAGAGTCTTAAGGTCATACTCATGTTCTACTTTTCTTTTATATAAATACATGCCTGCCTGATGAAATCCTTGCACATTCAATTATTAAAACTACATTTTATAGACTTACTGATTTCCAGAGAAGAAACAGTGGGAAAGATAGATCCAATCCCTTTTCTTTCATTTTTTTTTGTAACTGTCAAAATGAATCATGTTGACAAGTGTTTTTTTTAAAAACTGATTTTCTTTTTTTTTTGGTTTTATTTCTTTATTTTTACAGAGAGGGGAAGGGAAGGAAAAAGAGAGGGAGAAAAACATCAATGTGTGGTTGCCTCTCACACACCCCCGACTGGGAACCTGGCCTGCAACCCAGGCATGTACCCTGACGGGGAATCGAACTGGCAACTCTTTGGTTTGCAGGCTGGTACTCAATCCACTGAACCACACCAACCAGGGCAACAAGCGGCTTCTTAAAGACCTTGGTAGTTACACCCTTACCCCCATTTATAACTTTTAATTGCTTAAGAAGTAATTCATATCTGGTTTTTATAATTTCTATACTATTTTATAAGAAAACTTTCTTTCCAAATAGACTGAAGTATTTTTTAGAAGTTTAAAAATGTTCACCTACTTCAAAGACACTAAATTGTATTTATCTCTCTCACATGTTAAATAAACATATATATACAAGGAAATAAATAGATGGTTTAATAAAATATGCAAAATGGTAAATATACATTTTGGTCTTAGTCCTTACCCTACACTTGAGGCCACCAGCTGCCAAGCATGGTCACTGCGGTGGGAATGTAGTCCAAGAAGCAATCTGGATAGTCAGTGGACACAAAGGAAAGAAGAGAAATATCTACTTTTGGCTTAAGTTGGTTATTTGAAGAATGAAGAGCTCTGGTGATTTCTTGCATTGTGCCAGCCTTGTTCAATTCTAGACTGATGGGGCATCTGTGGCAGGTTTGTTCTTGGAGGGCTCGCACCCCAAGACCGCTCTCACTATGCACGAAAACTCTAACTGGGCCCATGGCCCCAGCTTCCCTCTCTTTTCCTGTCCCATGCAGATTGTATGGATATTTTACTAATTAGATAATCTCATTCATTAGCAGCGACTTTCTTTTTAAGAGAAATGCCCAATACTTTATTTTATTATTTTGCATTTCTTCAGTTGTATTGTTGACTATTGTAGTTTGAGATGTTTCCAAATACAGGGTGGGGCAAAAGCAAGTTCACATTTATTTATATGGAAAATAATATAATAAGTAATAAACAATATGAGAAGAAACTCTGCTTCATGTACCCACAACTGTAAACCTACTTTTGCCCCACCCTGTGTGTTCCCAAGATACACAGTTTCCTGCTTTGGAACTGGATGCTTTTTGTCCAGGCTTTTGCAGCAGTACAGTTTGCCTTTAATCCACCCAAAGTCCTTCTCAGCTTGCACAGCTAAACCATAATCAGTCAAAATTTTCATTTCAAAGAGAGACTCTTTTCACATAGCTACAGACTCAGGCTGTGTGGTTCTTATCCCAGTTTTGCTACTTGAGTATTTATGACCATGAGCAGGTAGCATAGCCTATCTATGCTTCAATGTCCTCATCCATGTAATAGGAATAACAATAACACCATCCTCAGAGGGGTTATAATTAAGCTGTGAATACACATAATTTCTTAGTTGTTGTCATTTTTCAGAGGAAGAAATAAGAATTCATGATCTCCCTCCTGGACTACTACTTTTTGACCCCTACCAACTTCTGTGTACTTACATATTTTCTTGCAGTATTGCTTGACAACTGGCTGGCAATGTCAGCTGACGTTTTGTCTAAAGCCGTGTTCTTCTCTCTACAGGGAGTAGATTCTGCTATCTTGGCCTCACAGCCCTTCCTGTTGATAACAAAGCCCATAGAAGAAAACAGAACACACCCTCCTTGGTTCCTTCTACATGTGTTTCTTCTGCTTCTACTGTGCCAGTTCTGGAGCAAAGACACAGATGAAACAGACCCAACACCTGCAAAGAATACGTGCATGACTTTCAAATCTCCTTTCCAGTGAAAGAAATGGCAAACATTCAAGCTTCGGCGTCTGTTCTCCGGTTGCACTGAGGAACATACTGTCTCATAGCACCAGCTCTGCAGAACCCCTGTTCCCAAACTCCTTGTGGTTTTATTTATATGTATTTCCATATCTCATTGCTGTATGTCACTGCTGCATTGGTGTGGCAGCAAGTGACCAAAGGCTACAGGTTTTACTACGGACACCAGGTCAGGTGCCACCATGCTAAACAAAGCCAGTTCCTATGAGCTGCCTATGATATGCATTGCTGAAGTAACATTTTACCCAGGGTGTGCCATTGCAGTGATATAAATATATTTTTTTCTTAGACTAAATATGAGCTGACTATCTGTTTTGATGTGTGTACATAGGTGTGAGTGTGTGTGTATGCGCATGTGTGCGTGCGTGTGTAACCTCATGCTTAGAACTGCCTGTGAGTGTTGTGGAATGCTACACCTGGAGACTTCTGGTTTTCCACCAGTTCTGAGATGAAGAGCCACACGAGATAGTGGGCCTGGAGACCATGTCCATCCCCTTAGACAGACAACCCAGAAATGTTAAATGTCCTGTATTTATATTGTATTTTGTAGCTGCCACACTAACCTTAATAAGTAATGATACAGCTTTGGGCAGAAGTGTTTTCACCTTAGCGGTGGAGTAATCTTAGAATATAAACCCATGTAAGTGACAATCCATCAACAAAGTCACGAATTCTGACTGAACGCCTCATCTAAATCACCAGTCCTTTGATGGAGAGAGAGAGAGAGAGAGAGAGAGAGAGAGAGAGAGAAGGGGATGGCATATGTCTTGTAACCCCAAAAGGAATACAAGTAGCCTTTGTTTTCCTGCATAAATGGACTTGATGAATGCGAACAAATATATGCAATTCATATACTTTCGGAGATGAACATAGACATGTGTGTCAGCTTTGAGATGATGGGTCCTGGATTAATACTTTGTCTCCCAATGTCACAGAAAAATACATGCCAGGTTAGCATAGTTGGAATTAAATGGCTGCAAGCCATTTCAGGTTCCCAATTACATGGAAAGTTTCTACAGTTACTAATATAGAGCTAACTCCGATGGCCTGCAAAACTACATCAGCCTTCTAGAATCTGAGGTCCACTGTGTGAAGATTCTGTTTTGATATGATATGTATACCAAACTCCAGCCAACATACTGCCATGTTTCATAATCTGAGTGGCTGCCTTGCTTATTCTAAGCTATGGTTGCAGAAACCATGGCCATTTATATAAGCTATAACATCAAATCAGGGAAAAATGGGAAACAAAAGATTCTGAACCCTATGTTGTTGAATAAGTAAAGCAAATCATCAATAAATATTTATTGCATTCTGTCAGGGTGTATGGCATTGTATTCTCATAACTATGCCAGAGTGACAAAGTTAATTCACCCCTTTTTGGGGACTTTAATATATTTTTAAAGGGATGTGCCTATGCATTGATGCCTGAAAAATATGTATAAAGAAATGAGGTTGAATCTCTGAGCAGGTCACCTTCCCCTAGAGGTGAGGGCAGGAGGCCAACTTTGGGGGCTGGGTCTAGCCCTGTGAGTGAGTGCTGGCCTCGTGAGCTCAGATCTACCATTATGAAGCATTAATCTGATCTCCTGCACCAAATCAAGTAGCTTCACCATGTGTCCACTGGCTCCAAATTATTTTTAACAATATTATGAATAAAATGTTCTGGTGTGATTTAAAAGTTGCTTTAAAGAAAGGCTGTGCTCACTACACGGCTGGTGTGTGTGTTTTGAGACCTCTTGTATTCAATCTGTGAAGAATATGTGTATTAATCCATACACGCTTATAGCCTCGGTACTCGTCTGAAGACACTTAAATTCTGACCAGTAAAGGAAAGTTCTAGAAGCAATATTTTCATTTATTTAACATTCTCCAAACAACATCAAACATTGATATACACTGAAGAGTGTATTTATTTTTTTTAATCACTCCAAGTATGTTGGAATATGCAAGGACTGTGGTTAAAATTAGAATGTATAAGGCATATTATAATTTAGTTCATACCGAAAAAGAAATTAACTGAACATAGAATCATTCATACATGTTCCAAAATTTGAGCAATCTCTTGAGTTAGACATAGATTTTCTATTTTGTTTTAATTTGTCAAGGTATTTTTCTTCCCTTCATAAAACTTAGGTACACATAACTTATGTCATTTATTTATGGTCTTTTATACCTAGTTTGTAAAATTGTAAAATAGCAAACTAAATGCAAAGAGTTTGCATTTGAAAACAATAAAGTAGTTGCCATATTCAAACCTGGAATCTAGTTGTCTCTTCAATAATTCCTGCCATAGATACAGGGGTTCTAAATTAAGTACTTGTTGGTTGTCATTTGGTGAACACACAAAATCTTAATCTCATTGAATAGCATTGACTTCTAAATGGTCCTCGCCCTTGAGAACAACACATTAGCAAATCTGACTTAGATTCTGTGAAATCTCTTGTCCCCTTGTAATAGAGCTGAACTTTGGCTGGAATTCAGGCTCCACTTCTTACTGATACACAGTTTAGGGCAAGTGTTTTAACTCCTCTGTGCCCCTTGTTTGTAGAATGACAATTACTATGCCAAGAGCCTTTACAAAGACAAATACCACATGATCTCACTTGTAACTGGAATCTAATGAACAAAATAAACTAATGAGCAAAATAGAATCAGAGGCACAGAAACATGGGACAGACTGACAGATGTAAGAGGAAGTGGAGGTGGGGACTGCTTGAAAGAAGGTGAAGGCATTAGATAAAGAACATATATGAATGACCCATGGACATGAACAATAGTGTGAGAGTTGTTTGTAGAACTGGGGGAGACAGTGGGGAGGGTGCAAAGGGGGAAAAGTTGGAACAACTGTTATGGCATAAACAATAAAAAAAGATTATGTTAAAATATTAGCACAGTGTCTAACCTCTAACCAAAAATCAACAAATAGTAGCTACCCTCAGGAGCCTTTTTGATGATATAAGCTGTCTTCTCTAATATCCCCAGTTGTACACCCTCTCAAACATCTTTGCTGTTGATCCCCATGGCCAGCTATCCCTTTCACCATGAGCTTTTACTCTGGACCCTTTGATCCGTGGATTCTTAAGGATGCACTGGAATACCAAGGGATCCAAGAGAGTCCCTAAAACATGGTACAAATGCTGATGCTTTTATGTATGTGTTTTGATGGGCAGAAATGTCATATTGGAAATGTCATTAAGTCCGAAATTGGTCTGTGATACATAAAATACCAAGAGCTGCAATTTTAAAAATGAATGTTCTCATCATGAATACTTATTAAAATAAACTGTCAACTGACTAAGCCCCTGTTAATTGAAAATGAGGCTCAAGACTTATAATAATGTATGAACTGAAGCCCTTAAGAGCAGCTAGCTTTAGAGGGTGGGGTCATGCTGTTCAGTGTTACCAACAGGGCCTTGAAATGAAAAGAATCTGGATATGTCTGGTTATTTCTTCAACACATCTAAAATCAACTATTTTAATATATAGAGTAGTTGACAACACATTTGTGGTTTGAAAAGACCAAGTTGCCATGTCTTCCCCCACTTGTTTAACAAGGATGGAAAATCAACTGTATTAGGTTTCTTCAAAGAAATAAAACCAATAGGATATATATCCATACCTCTCTGTATATATGTGTAGAGAGAGAGAAAGCCTTTTTGTGAGAAATTAGCTTCCGTGATCCTGGAAATCAGGCTGGAGGCTGAGAAATACCATGATCTGCAAGCTGGAGACCAAGGAAAGGCAGAGGTGTCCAAGTCCAAACATTCAAGAACTCGCTGAGCCAATGGCATAGGTTGCAGTCCCAGTGCAGAAGAAGATGAGGTGTTCCAGCTCAGCAATAATGCAGGGAATAAGGCATGGAGATGCACTCAACTTCTACAGAAAGCTTTCCCTTACCTCTCCTAGGTGTATGGCTCTCCTTGTATTTGTGGTTGAGACAGGCTACTTATTCAGCAGTTTTAGTTCTTCCTGTGCACACAAAACTACATTTCCCAGCCTCCAAACCTTTAGGTTAGGTACATGTGATCAGGTTCTGGCCAATGAGATACAGGAGGTAGAAGTGCAAGCCCCTTCCAAACCTAAACATAAAGCCTTCAATAAAATCATCCACTTTCTCTTCCTCTTATTGATGGACTTATAGGCCACATGCTCAACATGGAAGCCTCACAGGAGGGAAGGACCCCGGATTCCTGAGTTACTGCTTGGAGAGATGCCAGAAGATAATCTGGATTTTTATCAGGCTGTGATGGGTGCTAGAAATAAACCTTTAGCATGTTAAAAACTGAGGATATGGAGTCATTCATTACAGAAGCTAAAAATGAGGGAATTCCTCCTCTTTTTGCTCTATTCAGGCCCTCAACATACGGGATAATGCCCACTGCTGTGGAAGGGCCATCTAATCCACTGAGTCCACTGTTCCAGTTTGATGATGATGCTACATGCTATGGTTAGCAGGTATATATACCAGTACATTCTTCCCTAGACACCACCTACATATTTTGTTGACAGGTGCCTTACTTTTGACTGATTTGTCTGGTTGGTTATTGATGTTAAGCCTTAGTGATACAAACTATAACTTAAGTACAATATTCATCTTATACATTGTGCTTTGTGAGAATTAATTTCCAAAGTCTACTTTTCCCTAAGAGCAGAGTGTAATCTATTATTTCTAAGATATCACCATCTGATATACAATAAGTGAAGAAGTAGCGATTTTCTTTAATTATCATTTTTTGTATTCTAAGCATAAAAGCCAAGGACAGCACTTTTCAAATGCCTCAAATGCCATTCCTCATTTTGAAAACAGCCTGTAACAAAGAGAGGCTAGTCATTAACTAAATAGAAACAAAAAATGGGTCCAAAGACAAGAGAAAAATGAACTGAAGTAGAGGTTGAATATGATATAACAAAGGGCAGGCTTAATGCGAACCCTGCCTCAGCTACTCACTGCCTGTGTGACCCTGGGCAAATCACTTCACCTCCCTGAAATTCAGTTCACTCATCTTTAAAATAGGAGAATGGGTTCCTACTTTGTCAGGCTCTTTTGAGAATACAACGTAATCAAGTCTATGGAAAGCAGGAGCTGCAAACACAGATGTTTACCTGGGCCTGTTAGGCCATGTGAATGAGAGATACTGTCCAAATGCAGCACTATAGAGTGAGTATTTAGATAAAACATTAGGTTGACAAGATGTTAATGAGTGTTAGTCAGTGGATGGTAGGTTGTGGCTAGGAGGGTTCTATGGCCACGTAAGACTGGAAAACAATGATGCATTCCACTAACATTTTTGGAGATTCATACAGCACATTCGTACCTTAAAGGCTCTGAGAAGGTCTGTAGTAGAGAAACCAAGTTCACTAGTTTAACCTAGCATTTTCCAAAATACATTGGAAGATAGAATCCTTTTACTGTATCCATGAAATGAAAGCTCTCTGAGACATTGTGGACATCTAATTTTGGGGTTTCTAAAGAGAAAACTGAAGGAGACAGAGACAAACAGATGCATCCTATGTTGCACAACTTTTAGCTCAAGTTCCTGACTCCCAGCTACAATGCACCTACCTCCACACCCCAAAGTTTATGCCAAGTATAGCAGGTCCTCGTTCAAGGTCATTTTATCACAGTGTTGATGAGAAA